CTATGACATTGGGACGTCAAACATCTCAGTCCCCCCCCCGTGACCATGGTTGCTGTAAAGCACCCGAAACGTCGGGAATTAAAAAATAAGTAAAAGTAGTGAAATAAACGCGATAAAATCCGTAAATTTAGTTTTACTCTCCCACGTTGCCGGTCCGAGTGTTTTACAACTAATGTTATAAAATACCTCTTTTCTTTTAGTCGTCTACAAGACAAGGTAGTAGAAAACTAAATTTAATTAAAAATTTAATTTGATAAAAAATAAAAAATAACAACCTATAAAGAAATCTCAGATGTTTTTATAACGCATTGGCAACGACATTTCATCAATCTCTCCTTACATGGTCGATGCAATATGTTACTGCAGCTATTAAGTAACTATTAAAGCCACAGACTTCTGAATCGTTGTCCAGATGTTCACCAAACACGTATACCTCGTAAAAATGGATGTAAGCCAATCTAAAATTAATTTAACAATAATATATTAGGCCATAGTCGATTTTTCTAAGTTATTTATTTGGCCATTATATTCTTTATCCACAATAAAATCGTCGTTGTGCTGCAGTTTTATAAGGTATTTTCAGTGTCACTTACCTTCTTCGATCTTGATCAAACATTGCACTGGACCACGCCCGCTTCCAGCATAACAACTGCTTTCAACATCCCTTATCTAGTTAAATTTCAGCGTTTCATGATATTATTTATAAAACTACCGGTATTTTATTTATTTATTAAAATGGTTTAAATGGGTTTGTTCTTTAAAACACAAATACATAGCATCTTTTCGAAAATATGTCGTCATCATTATATGAAATAGACGTCAACATCAAAACGACGGCATGACGACGGAATTAATACAAGTTCCCACTAATTTTAGATTAAATTTCATTGTTTTGTGCCAAAGAGCAATACGGACCACGGCCCTACCGGAGGGGAGTTGCCATAGCGTTTTTCCCTGATACAACAGAACTGTCTGCCCTATTATTGCGAGGTGAAATCTGCGCACATAAAATTGTCGTCTGTCACTGACAAACCCACACATAAAAATTAAAACAGTAAACTAACAATTTCGCTCACACTTTATAATACTGTCGCTACATATTACTACTATTTAATCTGTGCTATCGCTTAGTGACAGTGACAACTCTGATACAGATTCAGATCAGTCGCTCGACCGTTCTACTTATTGTAAGAAGGTGAGCGGCCTATGTAATTTTAAAGTTAAAAAACTCCTTCTGTACTTCACATTACAATAATGTGATTACTTATAGAAGGTATTTTTTGTAAATTTTACGTAGCAGATTTCATATTGCAGCAAAAAAAAGTGAACGATTCGGCAGTTTTGTACGATGTCGATTCAGCCGTACATCTATATTTAGTCTAGTAAGCAGTGCAGCTGCAACTAGTTTTATTGTACGTATAGAAACACGTGGACTTATATTTTGACAGATCATAACACCTGCTTATGGGCTATTCCTCTCCAATGTGACGGTGGCTCGTGTAGCTTTGTTTTGTACAAACGAAATACAAATCCTCGATCAGTTAAATTAAACATTAGTTTATTTTTTCACTTTATCGTCCGAGTTCTCTTTTCCTAAATCTTACTTAACTACAAAATGGGGTGGCCTTTTAGCATTTGATATTCAACTTCGTATTGAAATATGTAAACTTAAAAATCATTTCGACTGAAGGTGACTGTATTCCGCCTATATTCATCTGAATTTCTAAATAGACAACACAAAGTAATCTATAAAAAAAACCTTTATAACAAATTTTCTGTATAGAAACAGACAATGGATGTGATTTGGAGGATGAGGAGTAAATAAGAACAATGGGACGATTAAAGTCTATCAGTTAAATAAAATAATAACAGGAGAGTCCACCTAGGAATCACCTAGACCAGAAAACCTTTAAACAGTTCTAGATTTATGGAATCCACCATGAATTGTTGGTTGCTAATCATTTTCTGTGAGACCTTTACATTACATGTTCAAAGTTCGTGTAAAAATACTTTGAATCAGGGATATTGGTAATGATTATTACAAATTGTTTTGAAAACTTACAAATTTTTCTTATTTGTCAACTTGTTTGGGTCTCTTCACAACTTCAATTTTAATGATTGCACTATTTTTTATTGGAAAATTAATGTATTCAAAATCAAAAAGCAGGAAGATCAACACCTCGCAGCACCGTTACTCATTCCTCTTGCAAGTAAAAACTTTGGGCCGTATAAAATATATCTACTAGATGTAAATACAAACTAAGAATAATGCATCCGTTTATCTGTAATTTTACTTTCAAACTGTTTATATATTCACCATCACCACTACAGGCCACCACAAGTCCACTGCTAATCATAGCCGCTCACCTCCATAGGTTGCCAACAATCAGTAAAGAATTAATTATTATTAAAGTAAAGAATGAAATAAAATATTTAATTCTTAATTTATCTTTAAATTATTATATAGATATCACCTTATCTTTTAAGCTACATTAAGGTAATCTTTAGTTTTCTCATGAAAAACAGATCCAAGGGCGTAAATCACTTGCGGGCTTGCGAACGTAGTTACTAAACCGCAAGAGTGCCATTAAATAACTTAGTTCAGGACTTCGAAGAAAAATTATGGTCTAAGATAATATCTAATTAAATCGTTTGTTTCTGACCTCCTTGGTGTTTTTACTTTTTACACTTTGCTATTAGTTTTCATTTTGTCCACAAAAAAGTTTCATTATACTATTAATACCAAATATTAAGGCTCCTACAATGATCAGTAACATCGACGATTTAGACTTTGTTTAAATTTAGCGACATCTACCAAAAGCAGACGTACTGCAATGGCACTACGTAAATAGTAGACAAAGATTAACGATGTATAGATAATATGACAACTTATTTGCATAATTTTTTTCGATCTCTGAGAGACCTAGTGGTGAATTGACGTATTATTCACTTTAAATCTTGTAACTGTATTCACTCCCATGTTCAGCACGGACGTTCCTACGTGACAATTTGTGAAGCTATGTGGATGACCAGGTAAGTACCAAGTGGTTTTTAGCAATGGGAATGGTTAGGAATATTTAGTTTTCAGAAACTCTCATAATCGGCATGGATGCTGCTACGTGACACTTTGTGAAGGTATGTGGATGACCAGGTAAGTACTAAGTGGTTCTCAGCAATGGAAATGGTTAGGAAGATTTAGTTTTCAGAAACTTTCATATTCAGCCAAGACGCTGATACATGATACTTTGTGAAGGTTTGTGGATGACCAGGTAAGTAGCAAGTGGTTCTCAGCAATGGAAATTGTTAGGAATATTTAGTTTTCGGAAACTCTCATATTCAGCACGGACGCTGCTACGTGACACTTTGTGAAGGTATGTGGATGACCAGGTAAGTACTAAGTGGTTCTCAGCAATGGAAATGGTTAGGAAGATTTAGTTTTCAGTAACTTTCATATTCAGCCAAGACGCTGATACATGATACTTTGTGAAGGTTTGTGGATGACCAGGTAAGTAGCAAGTGGTTCTCAGCAATGGAAATTGTTAGGAATATTTAGTTTTCGGAAACTCTCATATTCAGCACGGACGCTGCTATGTGACACTTTGTGAAGGTATGTGGATGACCAGGTAAGTACTAAGTGGTTCTCAGCAATGGAAATGGTTAGGAAGATTTAGTTTTCAGTAACTTTCATATTCAGCCAAGACGCTGATACATGATACTTTGTGAAGGTTTGTGGATGACCAGGTAAGTAGCAAGTGGTTCTCAGCAATGGAAATTGTTAGGAATATTTAGTTTTCAGTAACTTTCATATTCAGCCAAGACGCCGATACATGATACTTTGTGAAGGTTTGTGGATGACCAGGTAAGTAGCAAGTGGTTCTCAGCAATGGAAATTGTTAGGAATATTTAGTTTTCGGAAACTCTCATATTCAGCACGGACGCTGCTACGTGACACTTTGTGAAGGTATGTGGATGACCATGATCCATGTAAGCAAAAGCTGAGTCACCTCCGTTTGCCTAAATTAAATTAAGATTAAATAATTAGTTCATATGTTTTTTTAAAAAGTGGCAATAAAATGATATTTATTTATTTATTTATGTTGCTAAGATAAATACTCTGAAGGTCTAGTGATGATCTGGCTCATATATGTAAGTGCTAAGTTAAGTAAAAGAGGAAACAAACTTTGCGTGCTTTTTTTAAATTATTTTATGTTAAAAAATACTTAAAAAAAAGCACGCAACGGTTGATTTAATCTTGACAGATTTGTGTTGACGAACGTGTCGATTCTTGATATAACGAAAGCGTTGTATTTTCTTCCTGCTCAGCAATTGGAATTATGCTTTGGATTTTCTTCTTGAGTTTTTTTTTTCTCTTCTTTTTTTTTTATAGATTCTATTACATAGATTGGATTACCAATTTCCATATTTCTAGTATGTCTTGGGTCTAAAATTTCAGGCAATATACAATTTAAATAAAAATTGCATAATTTTGACTTCATTTTGTTTTCAAAAAAATCATCATCCCTGTAAATAACTTCCGTTTTCAGTGGTTGCGACTCACTGAACCATACAGCAAATACACATTTTGCTTTGCGAGTCACGTGCAACTGCCCTTGTACCTGGTAGAACCAGTTGTGATTTTTATTTATCACTAAATTACCTGATTTGTCTTTAATCCAAAAATTTACTTTTTTTTTGTAATAGCTTCCTCTAGTCCTGTCTTAAATGCCGTTATTGGACACTTAACCTCCACTATTGTTTCTTCGTCTATAATACCATCTGGTGTAGCCCCCAAATACGGAATTTCGTTATCTATATAAAGCCCACAAGGTCTTATATCCACTGCTTCTTGCATAGATAATTGTTGTAGCGCTTTTTTTCATATTCTCTTCCGTGCTGCAAAGGAACGGCATCTATATTAATTTTGTACAGCAATTGCTTTACTATATTGGCACAACTAGTATCCGGCCTCATTTTGATCACTTTGCCAAAGTTCGAAGCTGTCAACAAAGAACGTCTAAGTTCAAGCCATTCGCTAGACTCGCTTTGCAAAATGGTCTGCCGCTCAATCCATGTTCTTTCTTCTTTACTTTTTTTAAATTGGATAAAAAAGTTTCCTTCATTAAATTAAGAACATCTTCACCCATATCCGGTTTAGAGCTTTGTTCACCATAATCTTTATTTTGAGTTATAGCGTCACACGTCTTCTGCGGCTTTTTATAATTGGCGCGTTTCTTCAAGCCTCTGAGTTTCCGATACTTATTATCGAAAGTGCTCATTCGGCCTTTAGGGCTTTTGCCAACAATCGTTTTGTACAATATTGTAGTAGGTTTTCTTTTAGTATTGAACGTAACCGCAGAAGCTGAACATCTAGCTTGATAGCCGCTTCGCAGAGAGTAATTTACTCTTTTACCCCCAACTAACTTGGCCACAATGCTGTGAAAACATTCTACGATGTTACTTTCAACATCATGAACAAGACTTCTTGAATGGCCAGCAATACTATTTATAATAAAACATATTCTCTGCCATAAAGAACTTGTGAAAAAATCCGCTGGTACAGATTCAGTTTCAGTTTGACGACGATTACAGAAATGGATTTTACAGTTGGTGTGGTTTCCGAAGGCATGTAAATGTACAGTTTGAATGTCCTCAAAAAAGTTTGTGAGTGCAAAAATCTAAAGTCTCTGTAGAATCATGGTATTTTTGATGCACTTTCTAATTGTGGACCTAATGGTCATTATGCGTTTTTTTGTAATTAATTTTCTAAGATGTATGGGATATTTTGTATCTGTGATCAAGTTTTCCAGTTTGTTGCACAAGTTTCTTAAAAGGTGATTTCTGCACTCTACTTTTTCAACTGTAAATTGAGGGTAGGGTCTTGCTTCTAATATTTTAGAGTACGTGCTGGAATCTCCGTCAGATATTAGACGTCCATAAATCAGACCGTACATTTCAACAGATGATTTAAAACCTTCTACTATCAGGGTAGATTCCATGGCAGTAGATGCACCCGTGAAATTTTTGTAACACTGATGAGCTCTCGGAGTTTGATTTTTGTTACAATCTTGCGCACATATGCTGCAGTACTTATTTTTAACACCGAGGAACAAAATTTTTTTCGTTTCTTTTCCGATTATGGCAGCAGCTCCTGAAAGTGCTGAGTAATTCTTTTTATATGATCTCTTACTCCAGCATCCATCAGCAATAACATCTATAATAGGTATGCCACCAGTGGTTACACGACCTTTTTCTAAAGCAATCCTTTTTTCTTCTTCTGCGGCTTCTTGCATGGATTGACCAAGTGCTTTTTCCCAGGCGTTAGAAACAAACTCATGCTGTTTTTGGTACAGAGGCTCAGTCATCATAGGTAAATCGATTGCTGATAGTAATTCATCTAATTGTGAGTAGCCAATACCAACAGAAACTGCACCGGCAACCACAGCTGTATTTATGTCCAGATCACCGGAGACAATATACTTTTCTTTACACGTCGATGCACCAGCGACTGATTCTGTATTTTTTTTTCGGATCACCTGGGATATTATTTAATAAAAACTTTCCTTTACACATTAAACATTCTAAAGTAAACTTGGATGACAGTCCAACTCGTTTCTCTCCAACAATTTTTAAACTTTGTACTCCACAGTTATATGGGCTATGATTGCTGATTTCTTGTAATTTTGAAAAAAAGTATTTTATATCAACAATTCATCTACCAGATATATTTCTTTTTTCTGTTTCTGGTTGATCCTTTTCAATAGTTAATTCCGGTAAAATGTTATCTTGTTGATGCTGAGAACAAAATAATTATCATGTAATACATTGCTAAATTCATATACAAAAAACTTCCGTCTCATATATTATCTTGTTAAATAATATCTTGCTTATTTTTACTGACCATATAGGATAGGATTTCTCGAATTTTATGAGTTCTCAGACTTGTCGGTTTCCTCAGTACGTATTTATTTACCAAAAACGAATGGTTATTAATGCGCAATGGGGACCCGGAGTCAAAGTTCAATTTAACAACATTAAAAATAGACTGGCACTCTTAATTGTAAAAAATAGCTACCGTAATATCTGGCAACGGAATCTCCTCATCAACTGCAACACCGAACGGAACGTGAGTTTTTGCAATAGTCGTAGATGAATGTAATGCATTAGATTCAGTTGACGGATCTTTGCCCAGATTTTCTGAATGGAATTTCCGCTGATTTCTCAATTGCCTAAAAACATAAAGTTACATTAAAAATATTATCGCAACAGTCACTCTCAACAAAAGAGTACAATAAAAGCATTTTCACAAAAGGTAAGTAAAATTATCACAGACAGCTAAGTGTGAGCTCTTTCAAATGCCCTTTAAAATGAGTACAAAAACGATGGTACTACGTGGTTCCGTCACTGAGATCCTGTACCCACCTTTGGACTACTTTGGAGTGCAGCATCAGGTAAATGAAATCATCACGGCCAGCTAGTTAGCTGCGAGCCCTTTAAAATGAGCACAAAAACGATGGTACTACGTGGTTCAGTCACTGAGATCCTGTAGCCACCTTCGGACTACTTCGGAGTGCAGCATCAGGTAAATGAAATTATCACAGACAGCTAGTTAACTGCGAGCCCTTTAAAATGAGTACAAACACGATGGTTCTACGCGGTTCCGTCACTGAGATCCCGTACCCACCTTCGGACTACTTCGGAGTGCAGCATCAGGTAAATGAAATTATCACAGACAGCTAGTTAACTGCGAGCCCTTTAAAATGAGTACAAACACGATGGTTCTACGCGGTTCCGTCACTGAGATCCCGTACCCACCTTCGGACTACTTCGGAGTGCAGCATCAGGTAAATGAAATCATCACGGCCAGCTAGTTAGCTGCGAGCCCTTTAAAATGAGCACAAACACGATGGTTCTACGTGGTTCCGTCACAGAGATCCTGTATTCACCTTCGGACTACTTCGGAGTGCAGCATCAGGTAAGTGAAATAATCACAGACAGCTAGGTAGCTGCAAGCCCTTTTAAATGAGTACAAAAACAATGGTACTACGTGGTTCCGTCACTGAGATCCTGTACCCACCTTCGAACTACTTCGGAGTGCAGCATCAGGTAAGTGAAATAATCACAGCCAGCTAGGTAGCTAGCTGCGAGCCCTTTAAAATGAGCACAAAAACGATGGTACTACGTGGTTCCGTCACTGAGATCCTGTACCCACCTTCGGACTACTTCGGAGTGCAGCATCAGGTAAATCAAATTATCACAGACAGCTAGTTAACTGCGAGCTCTTTAAAATGAGTACAAACACGATGGTTCTACGCGGTTCCGTCACTGAGATCCCGTACCCACCTTCGGACTACTTCGGAGTGCAGCATCAGGTAAATAAAATCATCACAGCCAGCTAGGTAGCTGCGAGCCCTTTAAAATGAGTACGAAAACAATGGTACTACGTGTTTCCGTCACTGAGATCCTGTATCCACCTTCGGACTACTTCGGAGTGCAGCATCAGGTAAATGAAATTATCACAGACAGCTAGTTAACTGCGAGCCCTTTAAAATGAGTATAAACACAATGGTTCTACGCGGTTCCGTCACTGAGATCCCGTACCCACCTTCGGACTACTTCGGAGTGCAGCATCAGGTAAATCAAATTATCACAGCCAGCTAGGTAGCTACGAGCCCTTTAAAATGAGTACGAAAACAATGGTACTACGTGGTTCCGTCACTGAGATCCTGTACCCACCTTCGGACTACTTCGGAGTGCAGCACCAGGTAAGTGAAATCATCACGGCCAGCTAGTTAGCTGCGAGCCCTTTCAAATGAGTACAAACACAATGGTTCTACGTGGTTCCGTCACTGAGATCCTTAACCCACCTTGAGACTGAGTTCAGGACTGTAGCATCAGACCAGCCAAAAATGGTCACTTTCATATTATTTTACACTTTTTCACTGGGCGTTTTTGTAGTACCAAGCTTATTTATGGCTAAAGAAATTCCGCACCTATACAATAGAAGGGAACACGACAGTTTTCGGAACGCTGCCGTACCCTGTATTTACGCAAAAGAAAATATATCAAGGATAATTTACTTACCAATAGTTTTGAAGAGCTTGGCCACGCTTCACTTTTGACTTGCTTTTGTATTTCGGCATTGTCAAGCTTAGTCTATTCTATGATACGATTATATACAAAACTAAAACTAAAAACAATTTTACTAACATAAATCAACTTAATTCCTAATTTTTTATCATATATTACTTATGTACGTTTTATTTACAATAAATCTGTTTTTATAAATTTGAAATATTGCGAACTTTTTAATATTTTTTTTAAAAAAATAACGCGCGCACAGTCCACCCGTCGCAAGAGTCAAACTGACACTGGTGAATATCCGTAACGGGCCATAGCGGGGGAGCTTCGGGTGGCGAAAAGGGTCCAAATTATGTTTTACTATATTTTAAGAAATATATTTAACAAAAATACAATAAAAACAATACATTTTTTTTATTATGATTTAACAAATATTTTAATATAAATTTAATCTTAAACTGTTGAGCCGTTCTTGAGAAAAAATACAAAATAGATTTAAAATAGCCTTTGTATTTGATTTTTTATTGTAATAATGGTCAAATATTCTTAAATTTTAAACAATACAAATGAACTGTGACGATCTAAACTATAAAACATATTTTTTTTGTAGCAAATAAACAAAAGGATTCGGCTATAACTTTTTGTAAACCTGGGCGTTTTTCACGATTTGAGCAATGTAGAAGCCTTAAGGTCCACGTCCCTTGGGGGCATAAGTGTAAAAAAAGATAACGCCATTATGTGTGTATTTATATATATATATATATATATATATATATATATATATATATATATATATATATATATATATATATATATATATATAAATTACGTGTCACGTTGTTTGTCTACGATGGACTCCTAAGCTATTCGACCGATTTTAATAAAATTTTCACACCGTGTGGAGTTTGGTCCAACTTGAGAGATAGGATAGTTTTTGTCCATAAGTGACCCACAATTTTTTTTGCGAATTTAAGGATTTTATTAGAAGATGACAAAGGGTCGTCGAAAAGGGCAGAACGCCTGCCTAGCAAGCTAGTGTATATATATATGAGATGGGCCGAATAATTGTTTTATATTCGGTATTCGGCAGCTTTAGCGAATATTCGATAAAGTGGTACTCAGAGTATCCATTGTATGGAAATGTACGAATTGACTAATGCCATGTCTTTCATGATTTTACTGTTGAAAGTACATTTATTTATGAGTGAAAACTACTTGTATAGCGTTATGTTTTTGAGGCACTGTAGATTTATTTCCAATTATAGCAAATAGAAAGCTTGACAAAATTTTGTTTGGAATCAAGCAAAGAAACATTACATTACAGTCGTCAGTTTCTCTAAAATAGGTCCAATATAATTATCAATTTTCACTAAGAATAACACAAGGAAATACTTTTTTGCTCACAAAAATAATCAAAACATGCCGGCAATTTGTTCAGTATTGGATGATGCAATAACATGTCAAGTGTGGTGGGGGAGCGAGAGGAAGGGTCCGGCGCTAATCCCACGCGCTTTACGGTAACAAGTTTCGACATAAATTGGTCAAGTACCGGGGTAATCTTGCCGAATAATGCTCAGCCGAATATTCGGTTCGGTAAGAATTTTACCTATATATATATTATATATATATATATATATATATATATATATATATATATATATATATACATATAACCAACGAATATTATATTTAAGGCGACTACCATAATATAAATGTACGGAAATTTAGGAAATTTATAGGTAGGTATGTGTAAGTCATTTCGCTTCTCCCTACTTTACCATAATTATGTATGAACTGTGCGCTAAAAGTTGTATATAACATGACTATACAGCATTAGTATCGAACCCTTGTATATCCTGTCTACGAAGAGCCTTACATGTTTTGGTTTAATTTTTTTATTTAATGCAATTAAGTTTCATATTTTGTACATACCCTAAAGGTATGATTATTGAAATACAATTACAATGCTTAAATAATGCCACAATAAAATAATAATATTAAATAAACTGCAAAAACTGTCATACTTCCGATACACTTTGTGAATTTACGTGCTTAACTTTCATTGCATTGCCAAACTTTAACGCAACTAAAACGGTAACTTAAAAATAATTTATGCATATATGGCCGCAGGTTTCTATACTAGAAAATTTCGTAAATATAATTTCATAAAATAATTCTCTTTTACCACATAGTGGTATACGATATAAAAATATTCTGGTGGTGGTGGTGGTGTAAGAATATCCACTACCGCATATCATCCCGGGGGTGTCGTAAGAGGCAACAAAAAAAAATCAGGATGTGGGCAACGAAGTCTTCCTAATAACGACTAAAAATAAAGAAATTGATGTAGCTAGCCCGTTGCCAGTCGTGGTGACTATGACAAATCTCACTTGATTAAGAGCGAGTCAAGGCATGGATACATGAATAAAAATATATTTTATTGAATAAAACAGCGATACAGTGTTTATAGAGCGAAGTCTAAAACAGATTGACAATAAGAATAGAATAGAATATAGTTCAACAGGGAATAAAACTTATTCTCATGAACGTCTGCAGAATTTATTCCAGATAATTTTATTATGCATTCTGCAATATTCAATATGATTTCCAAAGTTAGTTGGCAGCAACAGGAAACAAAGGGTGTCGTATAACTTATTCAGCACAATTTGTTCTAAAACATTTCAGTATGTACATATTTTGAAATATTTCTATACATATATAAATTGAATGCAGAGTCAATTTCTTCAACTTGTTGCTATGCTTTAATTTGGGCTGACAAATTTACAGGGTGAGCATCCTTAACTATCACCCTTGGGTAACTCGTAAATGAAGACCATTATATGGTTTAGTAATCTCTTGTTAAAAAGTTATTTTATATATAGCATTTAGTTTATTTTATATTTTTACATGTTAGAACCACGCTGTAGCTATGCTAGCTATACACAACTGATGAACGACCGCGTTGGGACCACGTTCTCGTGGTATACCAGCGAGAAAGAGTAAAATAATGCTGCTGTGTTACGTATGGTGAGAATAAAGAATCCGAGACCCATTTTAATGGTAACAAAACATCATCTTAGTTCTGAGAGATTAAAATGCATCTGTATATTGATTTCTAATTTGGGATGGATGTGGATGTCTTTGGGCTATTCACATCTATCAAGTGGATTATGTGCTCGTTAGTTACCCTTATTCTATACTGGCAATCCTCTCCAGCTTCAATGGGTAAGATGAGAAGAGCTGGTGGTTTAAATAACCACAATAAAATATCTTCATAATCATCATCATCATCATTACAGCCCTTCACAAGTCCACTGCTGAACATAGGCCTCTCCCAAGTAATGCCACAAAGCACGGTCCTGAGCCACCTGCATCCATCGACTTCCTGCATATCTTACCAGGTCGTCACTCCATCTAGTGGGGGGGTCGCCCTACACTACGCCTACCGGTACGAGGCTGCCACTCGAGAACCTTTCTTCCCCATCGGTTATCGGTTCTTCGAGCTATATGGTCGGCCCATTGCCACTTCAGCTTACTAATCCGTTGGGCTATGTCAGTCACTCTGGTTTTACTGCGGATATCCTCATTTCTGAGTCTATCACGCAGAGAAACTCCGAGCATAGCCCTCTACATAGCTCGCTGAGCGACCTTGAGCATCCTCATACAGCCAGCAGTGAAGGACCACATCTCAGATCCGTAAGACATCACTGGCAACACGCACTGGTAGACTTAGCATAATCCAATCATTTATTATATCAATTTTCTGTTTTTTGTTTCAAAAATTAATAATACCCGTGCAGACAAACAGACAGACAAATTTAAAAAAAATCGTCTTTTACGTTTTAATAGCATGCAAATAACCCCTGAGCTTAACAGAAGACAATTATATATTAGTTTATAATAAAAAGATAACGAAAGGACAATCACGATATTTTCGGAACGGCCCATAACCAATTATTTATCTTAGACGCAAAGCTTGAATGTATTAAAATGGAACCAGAAATAATTATGTCTTACTTGACGATTCTTCCACAGTTTCATGAGACTATTGAACAATCCATGACGAACAGCTTAGGTATAAAGTCAATAAAAGGACTAAAAACTACCTTTAAAGATTTATACTATGCGTACTTTCTTTAATTTTTAAGTATAAATCAATTCATTTTACATGCATTGTGGTGACGCTGTCGTCGCGCCGCAAGCGAAACACACCGAAGCGTAAATCACGCACTATCACACGGAGTGTTGGCCGCTCCCCGGGCAGAACACCTTGCCCGGCGGGAGATCTCCCCTTTTCCTTCCACTGCCACATGCATGATAAACCAGCCCCTGGTTGTCGGCTAATAAATTATAATGCCAATTTATATATAATTTGCAAAATTTTTCAACCCATTGATTATCGTCATTATTATCAAAACAACATCATCAGCCTGCTGCAGCCTACTACTTATGTTACTTTCAAGACGCGCTACACAGATTAGCTTGATCTTTAACTACAAGTTTTAAGGTACTTTCAATAAACATAGATCATAATGAAGCATTGGCATAACAAGAAATACCTCTGGTATTGAATTACCCTTAATTATGTAAATATATAACACGATAGTAAGCATACCTACCTCTTATCGACCGCTAATTGCTTTGTCTGTACTCTCTGAACAGTGAATGAAGGCATTTTAATAAATAGTTAATTAATATTCTACAGCGCGTCTTTGTTGTAAATGAAGCACATGATGAAGAAGTAACAGCGAGCTTAGATATCTCATATGTGAGCTATGATATTAGTATATTATATATTAGAACTAGCTGGGCCCGTGATTACATACTCGAAATTATGTATTATCTACGCGCTCCACTAGTTAAATATAAATAAATCTCTGTTGTATCATAATATGTAATAATTTCTTGTTAATTTTATATAATCTTGTTAATTTTGCATTTTTAACATTCGTGTTACAATTAAAAAACAACAAAAGTTTGCATTTGTTAGATTTATTAAAATGTAGAGCTACAATAAAAAGCTTTAATCCAACATCTGGTGTTATAATTATTAAAATATAAA